TTCTACTCTCCATCCCACCTGTAGCTCTAGGGAGTGTGAAATTCCGGGACTTACTCTGTGGAGCTACACCTTGCGTCACCGTTTGGTTGGAGAAGGTGGTGGAGCCGGTGTGAAGCCGGTTGGAAGCAGTACCAAACGGCCCCTTAGCAACTTTAGGAAAGACCAAGTCTTGGAGCCAAGACATGTGGCCATTCTGATTTGTGATTAATTCAATTGGAATAATCCCTGCAAAACACACGCTAGTCACACGTACTTATGTTCATGAGTAACAAAAACCACTCCGCCTCCATAAATAGAGCCTAGATGGGTTCAGTCGCGTGATATGGCACAAGGGGTGAATCAGAATGATATGGTAATACAAGTTTAGAGAGCCGACTACGCAATTTACAAGTACAAACATAACTACCTAGAGTATTTTTTCGGTAATGGGGAAATAACGTGGGACCATTCTCACGGGTGTAGGGCGTGTTTGGATTGTGACTGGCAGGCAAATTCTCGTCCAGGCAACGATCGTGACCCCAGGTGGACGAAATCCTACGTCTGGGATTGCTTGCCTGGCCAGGCGTTGCCTGGGAGGCTTGAATCCAAACAAGCCCATAGACATTGTGTAAACCAAAGCAAAATTCAGATTCTTTGTGAGGACGCATAACGAAAGACGTTACCCGGAAAAACAAAAGAGAAGCAGGGTGCCTGTCAGCTTTACTACGACTTCGGTAGTAGGTAGCCAGGTCTTCGTCCCCTGCATAAGTTATCGCCCCCTCGCCGTTGAGAAGGTGTGAGATCTAGTCATCCATCTTCAGTTCTCCACTGTGATCACGAGGTGCGTGTCTCCTTTATCTGTTTGCCAAGGTTAGGAGGTATGACATGATGGCTATGAATTAGTTCATCTTCTACTGATGACTCTGTTTTCCTTCCTTTTTTTTTTGAGCTAACCGTGTTTTTTTTGAGCTAATCGACTCTGTTTTGCTTTCGGAGTGGTATTCCTCAAGTAGATCTGCATTTTCATTTTTCACCTACATTTTCATTTTTCACCAGGAGATCTGCATTTTTTTTCAGTGCCGATATGTTTTCAGTTTTCACCACTAGATCTGCATTTTCTTTTGCATTTCAGTTTTCACCAATAGATGTGCATTTTCTTTTTACCTTTCAGCTAGGCTAATCATTTGTTGCAAAAGCAAGAGCTGTGGTATTAGAAAACAAGATGGCTTAAGGCTGCTAATTTACATGTACAACCGAACGAGTGACAACAGTCCAAGGAAGCTACCATACCAACTGATAAAATGTATTACAAATAATTTCTCCGAGGAGCTTGGGCGCGGTGCGTTTGGACAAGTCTTCAAGGTGATTAAAACTATAAATCGTTCTTATATATTCATGTGGACAAAACCAATGGTGCTCATAGTTATTTATTTACTTATTTTGTTTGTTTCAAATCCAACCCATAAGAGCATAAAAATAATACAAGCTTTGTAACTAGAAAAGCTAATTAATAATGAATAGGGAGTGCTGGATGATGGAGAAGAGGTTGCTGTGAAGATGCTCCGTTTCATGGCTAATATCAATGACAAGCAGTCCGAAAATGAATTTGAAATCCTTAAGCGGCTCAAGCATCCCAATATTGTCCGACGAGTAGGGTTCTGCGATGAAGCTGAAGAAGTCGTAGAGTACAAAGGCAAACTAATAGTGTGTCAAAGGATACACAGGTTACTCTGCCTTGAGTATCTGCGCAATGGAAGCCTTGGCAAGCTCCTTTCTGGTTGGTGATTACAGTATTGCAAGAATATTCATAGCTTTATTATATAATATGGAGAATGCCATCTTTGCTCTTGCAGGTGAAAATCTTGGCAAGAGTTGGTTCTCACGCTACAGAATAATTAAGGGAATCTACGAGGGTTTAAAATATCTTCAAGAGGGATTGGAGTTTCCCATTTTCCATTTGGATCTAAAACCAGATAATATACTTCTAAGCCAACTGATGATGCCAATAATATCAGATTTTGGTTTATCTAGGCTCATTGGTCAAGAGAATACCAAAAACACATTGACTCCTCTAGGGACAATGTAAGAGTAATGCTCAAGTGCACAGAGTTTTAATCAGCTGAATTCTCACCTTCTTAGTTCTTACCTATGTTATTAATGTTATGCTGCAGTGGATACTTATACCTCCGGAATTCATCAATTATCAAGTAATCTCAAAGGAGTATGATATATACAGTTTAGGTGTTATAATTACAAAAATAATCGTCACCGGAATTACGGACTACTCAAATGTTGCCGATATGGGCGCCCAAGAATTCATTCAACATGTAAGAATATGTTGTTTTAACGTTTTTTCTATTCATACATACTAGAGCTCCATTAGGAGCTTCTCACTGCACCAAGTTCGCATCACAGCTTGTGACATAGTAACAAAATACTTTTAGATTTAACATGTGTTAGTTTTCCATATGCTGTATTTTTTTTTGAAAAAAGAGGGTTAGTTTCTGGCCTCGGTTTAAGCACGCAGCCCAACTTATACTACTAGTACAGTGCCCGTGCTAACGCTATGGTTTTATTTCAGGAATGCACATGAAAACAATGAAATGACAATATTTTTACGGAATTATATATGACTATGTATATAATCTGAAAAACACTCATGCATAGCAAGACATAGCACAGTGCCCGTGCTAACGCTACGGTGATGTCTAGAAAATAAATCACAAAACTAAAATAAATCAACTGAGGAAAGAAACGCAAATTCACAAACAAATGTTCTAGCTATTAGTATATTTCCCAGTACAAATGTGATGCATCATAATTCGAAGAGTCGAAGCTGCAACCTGCGCATCAATTAAAGACGGGAGGAATTAATAGGACACTGCATTGAAACCAAAGGTAAAAAACGAAAATACCCAATCTTTGTGATAGAAACCATCTTAATAAGACATAGTAAGCTTAGAGCCCTCTCTCCTCACTCCACCACCTCAGCATTCCGCCTGCTTACAGTTAATTTATTGGGAGTACTTCACAAAATCCTCAAAGTAAATTGTGTTATTCACCTTTTAATTTACTGTTGTAAAATGGCATTCAGAATCAGCGTACTGTTTTCAAAGTTCCTTTATTTAAATTGAACCACCAATCTGGCGAAAGGAACCTTGAGAGGAGCCTCAGAACGCAGAGTTTGAAACAGCACTGTCTTCCCACTCCCCATAGGTATCGAGATAACCATGTTCACATCTGAGAAGAAGCACACATACATGGAAGCACTCACTTTGCAAGGAAGTGAAGTATCTGCAGAGAAACCAAAACATTACTTTGATCACTAAATCCCACCTCTACACCAGTCTCTCAATATTACTTTATATTCTCCAACAATTCCAAATTCCATTAACCAACCATTACAATCTCATGCAATGATGCAATACGCGAGACTACTACACAATTGGAACCATCTCCAATCGCACAACTGAACAAAGACAATAGTGCAGAAACACAGTGTATAAACAGCAAAAATCGAACGGGTAGCTTGATAATAATCAATAAATTAGCGCACGGGTCGCGCCTGAACATGAACACGGAGCAGAATGGCAGGGGCAGGTCGGAGACATAGCGTATCACATACGGATCGGTGAGAGATCCCATCCTTGATTGGGCGACCTGACATCAAATTGGATTAGGATAGACATCAAATTGCTCATCACTTGTCACTTGTATGTAAGCGGATACTGTTCAGCAATCTATGCATACGATAGCAAATGGCAGGTGTGGAACTTCGATCTGCTTACTCTGAGTGCACATTGGATTTCAGATAGGCGATCAAACTGAACATGTGTACCTTTTCTCTTTTCCCAGCCGGTGGAAAGCAAGCAAGGGTATTTTGTAGGGAAGTTTTGGTATTTGGTTATGCTAGCTAGCACTACTAAATCACAACACTTCTGAATGAAATATGATGCCCCTCATTGATAACAACAACTAAAGGGGATTTGGACATTGCATTCAAGATTCATTCCCCATGGCCCAAGCTACCTTTGAATTCTGCTGACGTGCGGTGATCACATAGCTAGCTCTCGGCGATTCTGAGGAGCTCCTCCAGGTACTCAGCACCGAGGTCCTCCAGCTCCACGACGAAGCGCTGCTGCTCGGCTGTCGCCGCGGCGGCGGCGTTCTTGACCTTGCTTGTGCCCGACACCGCGTCGTTCGCTGACGCCGCCGCCACCAGAAGCTCGGATTTCTTGCGCCGCTTCCTCTTGGAGTGTCACGACTTGAGCGCCAGCACGGGCGAGCCTCCCGCGGAGGCACCAGCCGCGCCGCCGCCACCCAGCGCGAGCGCTCGGAGTGACTCCTGCGCGCACTCCACGGGGAAGTTGAGCGCGGCGGTGGAGCCCTAGGCGGACACGGCCGCCTAGTCATAGGCCATCGCGATGGCCTCGGCGTTGTCGAAGTTCCGCCGCTCTCCTCCCCCACGGCCGCCTCCGCACCCTGATGAACGCGCCCTTGCTAGGCGCCGCCTGCCTCACGCCGGCAACCGCCGGCACATAGGCCTCGTCATCCGTGGCGCGCCAGGGCAGGCGCGACTGGAGCCGTGGGTGAGGAGAGGTCTCGTGTGGGTTTGGGATCTGGGAATCCGAGGAGTCGCGGTTGTGGGAAGGCGGAGGGAGGGAGGAGTTGCGGCGCTGGGGAAGGAGGGGCGCGAGATCGAGCCGGCGGCAGCTAGGGAGGGGGACATCTAATTATTTGCCACTCTTATGGAGGCCGCCTCTCTGATTGCCAACTTTGTGGTGGCAACTACAAAAATATCCTAGAAAATAGTAACTCGCCTAATATTTTGCCATTTTTGCTGACGTGGCATGCCAGATCAGCCAGCCAGCTTGGGAACGGGCCCTTGACGCTCGAAGACCGAAGGCAAAAGACCATTCTACCCCCGCCATATATTGCTTAACAAGCGCCGTCTCCTCCCATCTGTTCAGTCCCAATGGTTCTCTCCGCACTTCTTCTTCTTCCTTCGTCTCCCTGTCCGCATGCTGGGCTTCGACCTCTCCCTCGTGGCGCTCGCCGCAGCCGCGCTCTGCTGGCTCAGCTCCGCGCTGCGCCTGAACGTGAACATGGCGGCGTTCCTGGTGGGGCTGGCGTTCCCCAGCGAGGGCCGGGTGTCCAGGCTACTGGTGAGCAAGACCAATTTCGTGCTCAGCTCCTTCGTGTTGCCGCTCTACGTCGCCCACGTCTGCCTGTCGCTGCGCCAGACCACGGACGACATCGAGGCGGCGGGGCTCACGCGGGACGACGGCTTCCGGGCCTACGTCATGGAGCTTCCGTTCCCGTGGTGGAAGGTCTTCTTCGTCACCGTCATGGGGACCCTCGGGAAGCTCACCGGGTGCGCGGCGGCGGGACTCCTCCGAGGTCTGGGGATTCTGGAGGCGCTGGCGCTGGGGATGCTGCTCAACGTGAAGGGGTAGTACTTCCACCTCTACTGCGCCCAGGCGGCGTTCGACGCCGGCATCATCACGGACAAGTCGTTCATGGCCATCATCTTCATGGTGGCGCTCAACGTGGCGGTGACGCCCATGGTCGGGATGGGCATCGCGTCGTGGGCGTGGCGGAGCGTGCAGTGGCGGCTCATGGGGCTGCAGCACCACGACCCGTCCACGGAGCTGCGCCTCGTGGTGGGGCTGCACGGCCCGCAGGACGTGCCGACGCTGTCCTACATCATGGAGGCGCTGCGGTGGGGTGGCGGCGCGGGAGGAGGCGGCGAGCTCGCCGTGTACGCCGTGGACATGGTGCAGATGACGGACCAGACGGCGGCGGCCATCGTGAAGGGCGGCGGATTCGACGGCGTGACCGTGGTGGACGAGGAGGTGTCGGAGATGCGGAAGCTCATCAGCGAGGCGCTGGACGCGTACCAGGTGGAGTGCGGCGGCGGCGCCAAGGTGAAGGTGCGGCGGCTGCTGGCTCTGTCGTCGTTCCCGGACATGCACAGCGGGCGGACGGCAGCATGGAGCCGGGCCACCACGGCTTCCGGGTGGTCAACCAGAAGGTGCTGCAGCTGGCGCCGTGCTCGGTGGGGGTGGTGGTGGACCGAGGCCTCAGTGGGACGCATGCATCCGTCGTCAGCACCAGCTCCCAGTCCCAGCAATCCCAGACACAGCAGACCCAGACGGCGGCCGTGGTGGTTGTGTTCATCGGCGGCGCGGACGACCGCGAGGCCCTGACGCTGGCATCCCTGATGTCGAAGCACCCGGGCGTGCGTCTGACGGCGCTGCGCGTGGTGCAGAACGCGACGGCGCAGGCGCGCGCCAGGGCCCGGACGAGCCTGTTCGAGAGCAAGGGCAGCCGGCCCGGCGGCAGCGGTGGCGGCATGATGGGCGCCCCGGCGTCGTCAGCGCTGGGGCAGGAGGAGGCGCAGATGCAGGTGGACGACAAGTTCTTCGCGGAATTCTACCGGAAGCACGTGGCCGGGAGCAAGCAGCCAGGCGCCGCCGTGGCCGCCATCGGGTACCTGGAGAAGCACGTGGCGGACGGGGCGGAGCTGGTGGCGGTGCTCCGGGGCATGCAGGCGGATTACCGGCTCTTCATCGTGGGGCGCGGCAGGGACCGCAGCTCGGTGCTGACGGAGGGGCTGGACGAGTGGGACGAGTGCCTGGAGCTGGGCCCCGTCGGCGATATCCTCGCGTCCTCCAACTTCTCCACCACCGCCTCCGTGCTCATCGTGCAGCAGTACGACGCCAAGAAGCACTACAAGGTCATCGACGAGGAGTTCATGCCCTTGTAGATACACATACAACGTGACGTGACATACAACGTGTGCTCGATCGTGAATGGAATTTAGGACATATACGTACAGTATTGTCGGACACAAGTGATCTCTAGAGTCTAGCCACAAAAATGGGTATGGGGCCACAATCTTTTTCCCTTAATTACCGAGTGCCCGAGTCCAACGGAGCGACACGTATACGCACCAAAAGACCAAAACGCCGTGATCGGAAAATAAAAAATAATCACGGAATATGTCACGCCAGATGCTAATTGCTAACACGTGTACGCATAATAGTTGGTTGTGGCATCGATGGTAGATCGAGTTTGTTACCGGTGGCGGTGGTCAGTTTTAATAATTCCCTGTCGTTGGACTGAACAGATGGGAGGAGACGACGCTTGTTAAGCAATACACGGTGGGGGCAGAATGGTCTTTTGCCTTCGGTCTTCGAGCGTCAACGGCCCGTTCCCAAGCTGGCTGGCTGATCTGGCATGCCACGTCAGCAAAAATGGCAAAATATTAGGCGAGTTACTATTTTCTAGGACATTTTTATAGTTGCCACCACAAAGTTAGCAATCAGAGAGGTGGCCTCCGTAAGAGTGGCAAATAATTAGATGTCCCCTAGGGAGGAGGCCCGAGCGTTATCTTTTCAGAAGAAAATAAAAAATGGACGCGGGGGCGCGGGACAGGCAGGGAATCGAACCCTGGATGTGTTGAGCAGTGTCTGCGTTTGAAGCCCGCGTGCGTGGGACGAAGGGCACGGGGGTGAGAAGCCTAGCATCACACATCTGACGTCAGTCGTCGGATAAGTTTGGATGTTTTATTAGCCCTTGATTTTAATGTAGATGAATTTCTGTGTGTATTTTTCTGGGTACGCAATGGTTGGAGACTCTCAACGGCGGACATTTTTCTGAGGAGACCTAATATAATTTTGATTGGTACATTAGAGTAGAGATAAAGTTTTCAGCGATCCAGCTGCTGCATAGAAAATCAAACATTACTTGAAAGAAGCAAAAAAATTAAAGGAAGCCAAGTCTATTACTCCATCCGTTCCAAATTGTAAACGCTTTAACTTTTCTAAATACATAATTTTTTCTATAAACTTAAGGTATATAGTATGTGTAGAGATATAGTAAAAGCTATGTATTTAAAAAAAACAAAATATTAGCTTGATCAGTAGTGCTACTTTGCAGAACTGTTGCTGTGGCTGCGGCCACCAGCCAAGCCCACAGCTGCAATGTTGAGCGTTGGCTTGTGTGCGGCAGCAGCCACAACGCTGCAAGTAGAACAAACAAGCACCACGTTTATAATTTGGAACGTAGAGGAGTATCAATCATCCATCCTGTGGAAGAAAAAAAAAATCCATGGCAACAAAAAAAAAACCAATGATAAGGATGCTGAACAAATTATCTATCTCTTACTTCATCACTTTGCAGCAATATCTAAAATCGCGATAGACTCATTGCCTCTGTCAGCCTTCGGCTAATATATCTAGAACACCAGATAAATGCCGCACAAATACATATTTAATAGTGAACTCGTTAAAGTAAATTAATATCATAAATGATAGTGCATTTTTCTATAAATTTTGTCGTTGTTGAAATTATAAAAGTTTGACTTAGGACAAACTAAAATACATTACTCTTTGGAACGAAGGTGTAAATTATAGTGCAGAGTTTTCAATATGCATGTTGTGCTTATATTGTTTAATTAGTTGATAAAAAAACAACTCGGCTTCTGTAGTGCAAGAGGCTCACCTTCGGATCACCTAACTGTGCCAATTTCGTAGGGTTTGTTGTTATTTTTTTTAGATAATAGAAAAAGTTCCGGCTTCAAACCTCTTCAAAGAAGAGAGATCAGTCCAAATCAATACAAATCAACTACGAAACTATAAAATATCCAGCATTATTGACCAGTACAAAATCTTAAAGGCCATCTCACAAGAGTCTAACATAGGGGTATGTTAAGTCTCCGGGAAGAAGAGACAACCGACCGACGGAACTCCCGACCGACCCCTAGATCGCTCGGGGGTATACCAAGCGTACCCTTTGGAGGAGTCAGGACGAACTGGAATGCGCATGTAGTCGCTGCTCGGGGCTCAGGGGCTCGGCAACGGCCCTGGGCTACCGAACGACGGGAGCCCGAGCTTGACTCCGGCCTCAGCGCCCGCCCGGGCCTTAGGTTGGGCAGCAATCGATGTCCCGAGCCATGACCAGAGGACGGCCCTGGGCTTTGTCAGGTGCCCAGGTCCTGACAAAGTGCAAGGGCGCTGCGCCGTGTGCATGACCAACAACCATGAGGCCCTGTCACCCACTCTCTCGACAGGGTTATGCAACAGCCGTGACGTGTCAAGACAAAAAACTTCCCAGCCTCCGAAGGCGGAGGGTTATGGGCCCGCTCATCAGCCCCTCCGAGCAGGGAGGCTCCTTGGACGCCAAGGAAGCCTCGAGAAGGCACACCTAGGGGAGGCCGCGTAGCGGCATGAAACCTCTGATGGTCAAGCACCAGAATGGCGGTAGCGACGTCAGGAAGTGGTTGCGGCACTATCGGCTTCCTCCTACACGACAAGACGATGTCCACCAACGCCACAACACAGAAGGCGTTCACCTGATGTATGGATGATCAACTAGAAGAGAAACCAACTTGTACACCGTGACCTCCGCGGAGTATATGAGGATGCATGGACCCTTAGAAGGGGAGAGGAGAGAAGAAGAAAAGAGAAGAGAGGGTTCCCTGTTGGGCCACTTAGACTCAGCATTTAGGGAGCTCAGGAAGAGACATAGGAGATTGGGCACGAGATCGTCACCCGGGCTCAATCGCCAAGAACCACTACAAGAAATGTGTGGCCTTTTGACATTCTTTTATGTCATAATATATGGAATTTAAGTCACAATTTAAGATTTGTGACATTCAGTTGATGAAAATCCAAACGTCAAAAAGCCACCGTCACAAATTTATTATGTGACGTTTGTATATTTAATGTCACAAGTATATATGACATTGGATTTTTAGTGTCCTATATGTCACAAAATGAATTTTGGCCTGCTAAAGCCCATATAGCAGGCAACCTCTTCATGGGCCACAACCACTATTTGGGTTGTTGCTGTCTGGCCTATTATTTGAATTTTGTTTTTTGCCCATATATTTTTTTATGATTATAGCCCATATAATTTTTTCAGCCCACACAATTTAGCCCATATATTTTTTTAGCCCACATGTTTCAGCCCATGTGTTTTAGCCCACACAACCACATGTGAACGTTAGGATAACACCGCACAATCCCCTGCCGATTTATCTCATTTTCCACTATTGTAATCTCCTGATTGGGTATTCCTATCACAAAGAACACCACACTATTGGATTTAGGGCTTAGAAGCCCGAACAGGGATAAACCGAACAATGTCTCTCGCGTGTTTTGAGTGTCCAAGCCACCGAAGACCCACACATCGACGTCCTACAAACAATTCTGGTGCTTGCTGTAGTTCCAAACCTACGACAGCTAGTGCGCCAGGTAGGGGAGCGCGTTGTGTGTGACTGTCGCTCTATGGTGGATAGAACCACCCACTTCGCCGTCGGAGCTGGCAACGTCACCCCCGAGGGCGACGTGCGCTTCTCCGACAAGATCGTCATCACCAGCGGCTCCTTCGCCCTAGCCAAATTCTCACCTTCGGGAGCCTGTACTATGTCACCGATTGCAACGGAGAGCTTCGCCCCCTCGAGGAGACTTCATCTGCGGAAGAGTCCCCGATGTCGTACCCTTCACTGGTCCTCCTGACAGCTGACCTTGAGGTCCTGGACTGGCAGATTCGACTCGACCTAGGCCTGAACCCCATTGTGTAAGAGCATCGCCGCATGTTCTACATGCTGGCAAACGTTCACCACCACATCATCGTCGGAGAAGAGCTACTGCCACCTCACCGCTTCTGGTGCGTCCTCCCAGAACTCCCATAAGGATCCAGAACGCTGCGGCATCATTCCATCTTGAGGTAGAACACCTCGTGAGCTGGGAGCCGCCACACGATATCATGCTCTTGGGCGTGGCAGGGGCCGACGTCCCCTTACTGCGCAGTCTCCTAGAGATACTCTCAGGGCTCAGGTCGAAGTATGATTCCGGTAAGGCCAACACCAGCGGCTACTCCCCTCCACGAGAGTGTTTCACATCGATGGGGAGCACGCCGCCGACACCTCCCCTGAGCTCATGCCTTTGGACATGAGCCCAACCAACCACGTGGCCTAGCTTAAGGAGAAGGACGAGCGACTCCAGGCCCGACATGCCAACCTCGACACCGACTGCGCCGAGCTCGAGAGGAGGAGGGAGGAGATCGAGTCGTAGCAGGTCACCTACATTGGTAGAGAACAGAGCTTTACTCCCGGTGGGGAACCCCCTCTAGTCCCGGTTCCCCACCCGGGAGCAAGCATCCGGGACTAAAGGGGGGTCCTTTAGTCCTGGGTCAGGAACCGGGACTAAAAGGAGGACCTTTAGTCCTGGTGGGTAACACCAACCAGGACTAAAGGTGCCTTCTGACATGCCACGATGGCCGGCACCTTTAGTCCCGGTTGGTAATACGAACCGGGACTAAAGGTTTTTTTTTCTTTTTTCTTTTCTTTTCATTTTTTTGTTTTCTCAAAATAGGTTTTCGAAGTCGTATTATACGCTGCTAATTATACATTTATACGTGCGTATAGTATGTTTCGGTTCAAGCATAATGAACGTATTAAATCACATAATTCAAGCATAGAAATATATATATATTTATATATGCATGCATGCATCATATATATATTTACATGCATGCATGCATATGTGTATTTTACATTATATTATTTCATGTGCATATATTACAAAAAGATTGCATTACAGTTGTTGTGATATAACAAGTTTTCTCTCATCCTCTAGCTTGGCTTCCATGGCAGTGTTGGGTCGAAGTAGAACTCGCCCTTGGAATCGATGACCTGCTCATTAAAAAATCCTGCTATAGACTCTTGAATTGCTTTGATTTGGTCTTGCCGTATGACCT